AAAGCCTTTCTTTAAGTAATCTACAGAATGCCAATCTAATACAAATACAAGAAAGAGAAGTTCTTATTAACACAACATTTTGTATTTACAGTATTCGAACAGTGCTTAAACCTGCATTGGTTATAGAAAGTGCAATCTGCCCACCCCACCCCACCCCACCCCTGGCTGACAGCATGCTTAGTTCTCTCATTTACACCACACTGCAATAACATAAAGAAGGGTTTACTATTAATCCAGGTTTTACTACAAAGCGGCCCGTTATTTCTCTGTCAAACACTGGCAAGAGTGCCAAGTGTCTGTCATCCAATTCAGGGGATTAAGTCTTCTTTTATAGTGTGATACTTGTACCAATTTATAAAAATACAGATATAGTTTCTTAAGAGCTGGTCACAGTCTATATTTTGGCTGTGGTTCAGGCAGCAGAGGCTGACTATGACAGCTGGCAGGAAACGGGGGAGAATACATGCTCCCGCTTTCAGTCTCCACGTCTCAGTTTCCATAGTGATTAATCCTTAATTGAATACTGTCTTTGTGCATTTCTTTTCAGAAACTTTAAGTAAACTTAAGTTGAAAACATGCAGTTGATTGAAAAAATGAGGCACCACATCACAAACAGGTATAGTTAAGTTTTGTGACATACTTCCATATATTAAAAGAACAAATTAACTCTAATAAAGGTATTATTAGTTCCTTCAAATGATGAAAACATTTATTTTTTGTCTGCGATTAAACCTAAGTCACACAGGTTTTCCCTCTAGCTATCAGACACTCCATCTTTTAAATGAGCTGTCTTTGGAAATGGTTCTAAAATATCCAAATACAATTTAAGGCAAAGTGAATTCTTATTTTGCACATTATTTTACATAGTCTCTATTACCAAATAACAATGGTATAATTAGAAATTTCTCTTAGGAGAGATAAGTTTTAATTGGTGCAGTGGTTAAGAGCTCAGCCGCTAACCAAAAGGTCAGCAGTTCAAACCCACCAGCCGCTCCTGGGAAACCCTAAGGACAGTTCTACTCTATGAGTCGGAATCAACTCAATGGCAATGGTTTTTTTTTTTTTTAAATAAAATATATTCTATAAATAGAAATTAAGTTGTAAGAGTACAAGCTATAAGAAACCAAAGCAAACAGGGAAAAGACAGCATATTTTAGACCTTTTCTTAATGTATGGTTAAATTTGAAAAACAGGTTCATAGCTTCTGTTGTTTTGGTTATCAATGATTACCTACATCAAAAAGACTGAGGAACTCTGAAAGACTTTAGGATTTTCTCTAGGATTGTGGTGTATATGACTTCTCTTTTGCAAGTTTTCCATTAGTATATTTCTTTGCAGTTTAGATAAAGGCTGTATTAGATTTAACTATAGTATTCCTCTAAAAGTGGGACCCTGAATTGTAGTGGCAACTGTTAACGGTGTATTATTGGTTTTATACTAATAGAACTTTTTCTGTTTTCTTAGGAAGTGAGGCAACACATCTGCATCTGGCTGCAGACACAGACACACACACACACACAGACACAGACACACACACACACACACACACACACACAGTCTTCAAACACAGGCAAAGTTCTCTAATAAGACTTTGGTGACAGACATGAAGCACTCAGAATTCCCAACAATCAAAACGATTCTGAAGGTGAGCCCCAGATGAAAGATACTGCACTGTAGGTGGGAGGTCTGGGGATTTTTGGAGACTTCAGAAGCAAGACATACCCAAGTATTTTCTAACACTATGGCTGAGTTTCCTTTGTCTTCATCTTGCTCCATTTCCCTTCCCCTTATTCTCTTTTCATAATGATTTTTATTTTTTCAAGACTGCAAATTCTGTTGCCACCCACCACTACACTACAAGCTGCAAAATCTTTCAGTGAGTGACATAAATATCTCTAACCAGGCACGGTGGTGAGTTTCAATAATTTACTCATTAAAGGTGTAGAAGTAAATACTAACCAGATGTGATAAAATCAGTGATTGTAAACATGTTTTTTTTCCCTCAGAAACAATGTGAGATGGCTTTGAAATGTCATCAGTTTCTCATCTACATAAAATTATTTTAAAGAGTCTCTTCAGAAAGCCTTAATTTAACCATCTTTACAGATAGTTTTAGTAAAGACAAAACGGCATTACACTATGCCATCTCCTCGGCATTACTGAAGTAGTATTTTGTTTCCAAGGAAGCAGAATGAGGACAGCCAAGAACGTTATGTATAGAGATCATGTAAAAGGAGTAGTCTGATGGCAGTGATGGCTCCCTCATTTCAACGCTTGTCAGCAATTATGATAGCTTGAATTCAAAGCAGTTGTTTCAACTGATGAATTTACCAATTTATGATAGATGATAAATTTTCATCATATAAATGATGAAAATAAATCTATTGGCTTTAAAGAGAAAAGTTACCAACAACTTCAATTAGTACAGAATATCCTAAAAGAACTTAATATAAATAAAAAAGTAATGAATCACTTTCTATTTTAGTAAGCAAAAACTTAATAACCCGTTGCCATCGAGTCAATTCCGTCTCATAGCGACCCTACAAGACAGAGTAGAACTGCCCTATAGGGTTTCCAAGGAGTGGATGGTGGATTTGACCTGCTGACCTTTTGGTTTATAGCTGTAGCTTTTAACTACTGTGCCACCAGGGACCCAAAAACTTAACAGTGACATAAAATTTTAAAAAATATTCTTCTATGGACATTTTTTTATTTTTGAAGGGGGACCAAAGCCCCAGATCCACTAGTGCTACCCATTCTTTTATTTATAACTAAATGTGGTTGCACACAACTGTTTGTGGGGTACCTGTCCTTGCTGACCTTTCCCGCCAAGTAGAGTTACAGACCTGACACTGGACTTGTCCAGTGGTAGTTAGGACACTATTGATTATTTATTGAGTGTTTACTTTGCATCAGGTATTGTTCAGCTCATTTTACAGGTATTAACCCATTTAATCTTCACAGCAACCTTTTGAGGTAAAAAGTATAATTATTTATATTTTATACATAAGGAAACTGAGGCACAAAGAGGGTAACTTTCCCAAGGTTACACAGGAAGTATGAGGTAGAGCTAGAATTTAAACTCTGACTGTATGATTACAGAGTCTATAACCATCAAAATTCCTTCAGCTTCTGCAAGATTATAGAGCTCAACAACTTGAAGATGAGTCATCATATGAGTTCATTTATTTATTTATAATTAAACTTACCGGAGGAAAGCACAAGGTATGTCTCAGGAGTTGTATTTTTATGTCAAAAATACGGTGCAAACATTTTTTGTTTCAGAAGTACGCACATTCCTAAAACATAATCTATAAATCAAATCACACTCTGAATTAGTTTCAGAAACTCAGCATTTATAGGAACTTTATGATGCTGGTGAAAAACTAAGAACACCATAAATATGTATGATCACTTTCTATTTTGAAAATTCTGATTTTCATACAAGTTAAGACCTATCCTTTTTAATAGCAAGTTTATAATACAGTCCCTGACTGATTTTTAGAGATAACACATTGCAACTATCAAGACACTGAAGTACAGCTGTATTATTAAACTGATATATTAAATGGTATAGGTCAAATCTGAAGGACTGAATATTTCTATGCTGGAGTGGAAATTTACTCTATCTAGTATTGATTTTAAGAAGTCAGCCACTGATGGCATCTGGGGTCTTAAAAGCTTGCAAGTGGCCATCTAAGATGCATCAATTGGTCCCAACCACCTGGAGTAAAGGAGAATGAAGAACACCAAAGACACAAGTATTAGTCCAAGAGACAGAAAGAGCTACATAAACCAGAGACTTCATCAGCCTGAGACCCGAAGAACTAGATGGTGCCCAGCTACCACCAATGACCGCCCTGATAGGGAACACAACAGAGAGTACCAGATGGAGCAGGAAAAAGGTGGGGTGCAGAACTCAAATTCTATTAAGAAGACCAGACTTAATGGTCTGACTGAGACTGGAGGAACCCTGGAAAGCATGGCCCCTGGATTCTCTATCAGCCCAGAACTAAAACAACTTCCAAGGCCAACTCTTCAGACAGGGATTGGACTGGACTGTGGGACATAAAATGATACTCGTGAGGAGTGTGCCTCTTAGCTCAGGTAGATACAAGAGACGAAATGGGCAGCTCCTGTCCGGAGGTGAGATAGGAAGGCAGAGACGGTTAGGAGCTGGTTGAATGGACATGGGGAATCAGGAGTGGAAAGAAGGAGTGTGCTGTTACAGTATGGGGAGAGCAATTAGGGTCACATAACAATGTATGTATAAATTTTTGTATGGGGGACTAACTTGAAATGTAAACTTCATTTAAACTACAACAATAAAAAAAAAACAAAGAAAAAAATGGGCAAAGGTAATGAACAGACACTTCACCAAAGAAGACATTCGAGTGGCCCAACAGACACATGAGGAAATGCTCCCAATCACTAGTCATTAGAGAAATGCAAATCAAAACCACAAGTGAGATACCATCTCGCCCCCGCATTACTGGCACGAATCAAAAAAACTGGAAATGACAAATGCTGGAGTGGCTGGGGGGAGATGGGAACTCTTATGCACTGCTGGTGGGAATGCAAAATGATACAACCATCTTCGAAAACGATATGGAGCTTCCTTAGAAAGCTAGAAATAGAAATACCATATGATCCAGATACAAGAGACTAAACGGGCAGCTTCTGTCCGGAGGTGAGATGGGAAGGCAGAGAGGGTTAGATGCTGGTTGAACGGACATGGGGAATCAGGGGTGGAAAGGAGGAATGTGCTGTCACAGTATGGGGAGAGTAATCAGAATCACATAACAATGTATGTATAAATTTTTGTACAGGAAAAAAAAAAAAAGTCAGCCACGGAACTGAGTATGTTTATACAGACTGTTCTTGGCCTGCTAGCATTGGTAGTATGGGATTGGACCTCCTGCTTAGTGGCTTTAAAACTTCCCTGAACATTTTATACTCACCATGATTTAATCATTGAACAACAAATTTCTTCATATTACCTGAAAAGGGTCCACTGCAGTGATTTTAAGTTGGTATATGTGTGTTGGGGGAGATACGGCTTCGAAGGGAATATTAGAAACCTGAGTGGACAAATATTTCAATTTGTTTCCTGATGAAACTGTGAAGAGACAAGGTATCTGATGAGATGTGCTGTCAACCTCAAGAATGTTGGGGCAAAAGAAAGTTGGAAACTATTGATATTGCTAATGGAAGGATAAAGGCACTTTCCTCCCATATAAGAGGTAAAGTATATTTCCAGCCTTTTCATTTTTACAATTTCCTTTAAGAAGGTTCCAAAGGGACTGCTTATCACTTCAACAAATAGAGTTTGCTTCTCATGTCCATTTTTGGAAGGAATTATATGCCTGTAAATTTCTTCTCTTAGAAATATTTAGATAAGTTAACCAATATCCAGTCAAATTATTTCATTAACATCCACTACAGGGATTTTCCAAAATTATCTGACCATTTCACATTAAAATTTGTTAGTCTGAAGAGGAAAATGGGCATAGTTAAAAATAAATAAATACATAAACAATAAAAATTAGCTTTCTATTTAAATGATTCTGATATGCTCTTCATCCTAATAAAGCAAACTTCTAGCAAACCTAGAATATTTCTGCCTTTCTTTCCCATACTTTTTCAGATGGCTCCCACAAGGCACTCAGACTGTAGGAATGCTGTTGGTTGAGAGATGGTATATTTCTATATCAAATGAGAATATCAAAAAGCAGTATACTTGGGTCATGAAAGAACTATTTCACGAGTTGTATCCTGGCACTGAGACTTTGGATTATTTTGAAAAAGTCAAGAAGTACAGCCTTCCAAAGTTCATTAGTATATTTATTCTAAATAAATTTCTTCTAGGGATACTGTAAGACAGCTGTCTTATGTTGTTGTTGTTAGGTGCTGTCTTAGTTATCTAGTGCTGCCGTAACAGAAATACCACAAGTGGATGGCTTTAAGAAAGAAATTTATTTCTTCACAGTAAAGTAGGCTGAAAGTCCAAATTCAGGGTGTCAGCTCCAGGGGAAGGCTTTCTCTGTCGGCTTCTCATCAATCTTTCCCCGGACTAGGAGCTTCTTCGTGCACGGACCGCGGGTCCAAAGGATGCGCTATGCTCCTGGCTCTGCTTTCTTGGTACTATGAGGTCCCCCTGTTTCTCTGCTTGCTTCTTTTATATCTCAAGATATTGCCTCAAGACACAATCTAATCATGTAGACTGAGTCCTGCCTTACTAATACAACTGCTGCCCATCCTCCCTCATTAACATCATAGAGGCAGGATTTACAACATACAGGAAAATCACAGAATACCTGGGATCATGGTCCAGCCAAACTGATACACAAATTTTGGGGGGGGAACATAATTCAATCCATGACAGGTGCCCTTGAGTTGATTCTGATTCATAGTGACCCTATGTACAACAGAACAAAATACTGCCCGGTCCTGCACCATCCTCACAATCATTGCTATGTTTGAGCCCACTGTGGCAGCCACTGTGTCAATCCATCTTGTTGAGGGTCTTCCTCTTTTTTAGTGATCCTCTACTTTACGAAGCATGATGGCCTTCTCCAGGGACGGGTGCCTCCTGATAACGTGTCCAAAGTACACCAGACGAAGTTAAGCCATCCTCACTTCTAAAGAGCATTCTGGCTGTACTTCTTCCAAGACAGATTTGTCATTCTTCTTGCAGTCCACGGTACATTCAATATTCTTCACCAACACCATAATTCAAAGGCATCAATTCTTCTTGGTCTTCCTTATTCATTGTCCAGCTTTTACATGCATATGAGGCGACTGAAAATACCATGGCTTGGGTCAGGCACACCTTAGTTTTCAAGATGATATCTTTGCTTTTTAAGACTTTAAAGAGGTCTTTTGCAGCAAATTTGCCCAATGCAATGCCATCATTTGATTTCGTGACTGCTGCTTCCATGGGCATTGATTGCGGATTCAAGGAAAACGAAGTCCTTGACTGCTTCAATCTTTTCTCCATTTATCACAATGTTGCTTACTGGTCCAGTTGTGAAGATTTTTGTTTTCTTTATATTGAGGTGGAATCCATACTGAATGCTATGGTCTTTGATCTTCATCAGTAAGTGCTTGAAGTCCTCTAAGTTCTCAGCAAGCAAGGTTGTGTCAGCTGCATCACATAAGTTGTTAATGAGTCTTCCTTCAATCCTGATGCCTCGTTCTTCATATAGTCCAGCTTCTCAGAATATCTGCTCAGCATACAGACTGAATAAGTGTGGTGAAAGGTGAAGCACACCTTTCCTGATTTTAAGCCACACAGTATCCCTTTGTTCTGTTTGAACAACTGCCTCTTGTTCTAGGTACAGGTCCTGCATGAACACAATTAAGTGTTCTGCAGTTCCCATTCTTTGCAATCTTATCCATAATTTGTTATGATCCACACAATAGAATGCCTTTGCATAGTCAATAAAACACAGGTAAACATCTTCCTGGTATTTTCTGTTTTCAGCCAAGATCTATCTAACATTAGCAATGATATCCCTCATTCCACGTCCTCTTCTGAATTTGGCCTCAATTTCTGGCAGTTCCCTGTCAATGTACTGTTGCAACCATTTTTTGAATTATCTTCACCAAAATTTTACTGGTGTGTGAGAGTAATGATATTATTCGATAATTTATGCATTGTTTGATCACTGTTGTTTAGAGTGGGCACAGATATGGACCTCTTTCACTCGGATGGCCAGGTAACTGTCTTTCAAATTTCCTGGCATAGACAAGTGAGCACTTTCAGTGTTGCACCTTTTTGTTAAAACAATCGGTATTCCGTCAATTCCCGGAGCCTTGTTTTTCGCCAAAGCGTTTAGTGCAGCTTGGACTTTTTCCTTCTATACCATCGGTCCTTGATCATATGCTGTAACCTGAAATGGTGAATGCTGACCAATTCTTTTTGATACAGTGACTCTGTATTCCTTCCATCTTCTTTTGATGCTTCTTGCATCATTCAATATTTTATTTTGCCCATAGAATCCTTCAATATTTCAACTCGAGGCTTGAAAATTTTTCTTCAGTTCTTTCAGCTTGGAAATGCCAAGCATGTTCTTTCCTTTTGGTTTTCTAACTTCAGATCTTTGCACATTTTATTATAATACTTTACTTTGTCTTCTGGAGCCGCCCTTTGAAATCTTCTGTTCAGATCTTTTATTTCATCATTTCTTCCACTCGCTTTAGCTACTCCACATTTAACAGCAAACTTCAGAGTCTCTTCTGACATCCATTTTGGTCTTTTCTTTCTTTACTATCTTTTTAATGACCTTTTGCTTTCTTCATGTGTGATATCCTTGATGTCATCCCACAACTTGTGTGGTCTTTGGTCATTACTGTTCAATGCATCAAATCTATTCTTGAGATGGTCTCTAAATTCAGGTGGGAAATACTCAAGGTCATACTTTGGATCTTGTGGATTTGTTTAAATCTTCTTCAGCTTCAACTTGAACTTGGATATGAGCAACTGATTATCTGTTCCACAGTCAGTCCCTGGCCTTGTTCTGACTGATGATATTGAGCTTCTCTATCATCTCTTTCCACAAATATAGTCGATTTGATTCCTGCATATTCCATCTGGTAAGGTCCACATGTATAGTTGCCATTTACGTTGTTGAAAAAAGTTACTTCCAACGAATAGGTCATTGGTTTTGCAAAATCTCCAGCATTGTTTCTACCTCCAAGGCCGTACTTTCCAAGTACTGATCCTTCTTTGTTTCCAACTTTCACATTCTAATAAGCAGTAATCATCAATATATCTTGACTCCATGTTTGAGCAATTTCAGACTGCAGAAGTTGATAAAAATCTTCAATTTCCTCATTTTCAGCATTAGTGGTTGGTGCGCAAATTTGAATAATAGTTACATTAACAGGACCTCCTTGTAGGTGTATGGATATTATCCTCACTGACAGTGTTGTTCTTCAGGATTGATCTTGAAATGTTCTTTTTTTTTCAATTGTACCTTAGATGAAGGTTTACAGAACAAACTAGCTTCCTATTAAACAATTAGTACACACATTGTTTTGTGACATTGGTTACCAACCCCACAAATGTCAACACTCTCAACTTTTTGACCTTGTGTTCCCTATTACCGGCTTTCCTGTCCCTTCCTGCCTTCTAGTCTTTGCTCCTGGATTGGTGTGCCGCTTTAGTCTTGTTTTGTTTTATGGTCCTGTCTAATCTTTGGCTGGAGGGTGAACCTCAGGAGTGGCTCCATTACTGAGCTAAAAGGGTGTTCAGGGGAAATACTCTTGGAGTTTTCTCCAGTATCCGTCAGGCCAGTAAGGCTGGTCATTTTTTGTGAGTTAGGATTTTGTTCTACATTTTTCTCCAGCTCTGTCTGGGACCTTCTGTTGTGATCGCTGTCAGAGCAGTCAGTGGTGGTAGCCTGGCACCATTTAGTTGTGTTGAACTCAGTCTCGTGGAAGTTGTGGTCAATTAGTCCTTTGGTTTTCTTCATTCTCCCTTGCTCCAGACAGGGTGAAACTAGTGGAGAATCTTGGATGGCTACTCACAAGCTGTAAAGACCCCAGACACTATTCACAAAAGTAGAATGTGGAACATTTTCTTTATAAACTATGTCATGCCAATTGACCTAGATTTTCCCTGAGACCAGGTCCTCACAGCCCTCAGTCCAGTTATTTGGTCCCTCAGGGAGTTTGGATGTGTCTATGGAGCTTCCATGACCTTGCTTTGGACAAGTTTTACTGGCTTCCTGAGTATTGTGTACTGTCTTATCCTTCATCAAAGTAACCACTTATCTATTGTCTATTTAGGGTTTTTCCACTCGCACCCCTCCCCTCCCTCGTAACCATCAAAGATTGTTTCTTTTTGTGTGTAAATGTTTTCATGAGTTTTTATAATAGTGGTCTCACACAATATTCGTCCTTTTGTGATTGACTTATTTCACTCATCATAATTCCCTCCAGATTCATCCATGTTGGGAGATGCTTCGCAGATTCATCATTGTTCTTTATCGTTGCATCATACTCCATTGTGTGTATCTATCATAGTTTGTTTATCCATTTATTTGTGATGGGCATCTAGGTTGTTTCCATCTTT